GCCTTGAGTCAGTAGAGGGAGGTTTGGATGTACCTCCCGAGGTAGCAGAGCAGGATGATTCAGCTGTTCCTATGATTCACGATCCAATAGAGGAGAGTCCAATCATGTCTGGTGTTTCAGACTCTCCAGAGAGCCCAGAGCCAGCTGAGAGAGGACCAACTCTGCCTATTATTCCAGACTCACCGGAGAGCCCGGAGCCAGCAGAGAAAGGCCCAGCAGTGCCTACTATCCCGGACTCGTCAGAGAGTCCAGAGCCAGCAGAGAAGGGTTCACTTGATATCTCAAACCCTCCAGAGGTTGACACGCTGGAGAAAAACTCACCCATCATTCCAGAGAGTTCTGAGTCAGTGGAAAAAGACTCACCTGTCATCCCAGAGATACTCGAGAAATCAGAATCTGGAGAAACATCAGAGACTCTTGCACCGGGAGTGGAACCAGTTGTGATTCCAGAGGATCCTGGAACTGCACAACCAGGCTCAGCTCCAAAATGCACTACAGGATCGGATGATGACTCAGACGATGATGATGAACTGGTGAAAATTTTCGTGCCTAAAGAATGGGGTGAGGAGCTGTCTGAGAAGGCATTGAAGAAAAAGCTGAGAGGAGTTATCAACAGACATTTCAAAGTTGGTGGCACTTTCGTCACGATTGGTGATGTACGAGCTAAATTATGGTTTTGTCCTCACGGCCACGTCTACTTTCGTCCAATGAGCCATTTCAAGTTTCCTGAGAGATTGCCGGCCAACATCGAAATTCGTCACAAGGTAAATTTCTGATCATCATCACCAAAATCACATAGACAAATGGATTAATCGGTGTATCCGCTATATTCAACTTTATACAAAAAATCTCACCAAAACTAATCTCTCTGTTGGTGAGAAAAATCAAATTCTATCGACAATCGCACGAATCCAAGGATACCAGGAGAGTTTCAGGAATAGACAACGTCGAGGAGGTCGAGTGCAGGTGCCATCAGGTAGCAGAGAAGAAACACTCACAGATCGAGTACGCTGGAGGGATGGCCCCTTAGCCTTCCAAGGTCGCAAACGCACTGGTACTGTGATTAATCTACAAAACAAGGATCCAGCTGCCTTTCTGAGTGATGCCAAAGAGTTAACAATTGTGTGTTTGAAAAATGTTTTCGAGACTAATGGGAATATGAAAGTGAACAGTATATTAGCTGGTAAATTTCAAATAAAAAAGGAAGAGGTCATTACCAACGAATTAAAACATTTTAATACGAAGAATGCAATTATTCTACCAGCTGCAGACCTGGGGGCATGGTTTGATGAGAATATGATTGAACCACTGCTTATAAAAATCGAGGATTTCCAAGAACGTGATTCAGGGTGGGAATTGATCGAAGTGCTAAATTTAATGATTAATATCAATCGCTATATTCCACTCGCTGCAGGTTTATCGACTCACGCTCAGCTACCGTCTCATATACAGTGTAAAAAAGCCGTTGTGAATATAAGAAATTCAGATAAATTCTGTTTCTTGTGGTCAGTTATTGCGGCTCTTCATCCAGCGAAGAGAAACAGATGTGTTACTTCATC